CTCTACTGGACAGGAAGCGCAGTAGCCGCGGAGGGCCGGGGGCGGGGCCTTGATAGACGGGCGTGGCTGTGCTGTTAGGGGCGGAACCTGCTGAGGGATGGTGGTGGGCGGGGTCTTTCGGGGCGGGGCTCGAAGGGCAGGATTTGGGTCTGGCTCCACCCCTGAACAATTACCCAGCCCTGCTCAGAGGATTTGTGGCCGGAAGTACTGGGAAGTTGTTTTTCTCTTTCAAAAGGCTGAACAGTTCTTCCCACCCCTTCCCGGACATTCAGAAAGAGACCCGTCACCTGGGTTTCCGTGGCTTCCCAGGTAGCTGGCCAAAACTTAGGATATCTGCCACTGAACTCCTAGTATATCTTGGTTCACGTTGCCTGCTCAGTTATTTTTTAAAATATCAGTTCCAGACGGGAATGGCGACGCATGCTTGTAATCCCAGCATTCAGGAGAATGAGACAGGGAGATTGCTGTGAGTTCGAGGCCACCCTGGATTACCCAGTGAGACTGTCTCAAAACAACAACAAGAAGTAAATAAGTAAAATATAAATTCTGTAGTTACCTTTTCAGTACCGTGGTAATATGGCATTGTGTGCAAGTTAAAGGTGTCCCCTGGGTGCTGGGCATGGTTCTGCGCTCCTGTAATCCCAGCACTTGGGAGACTGAGGCCTGAGGATTGTTGCAAGTTTGAGGCCAGTCTGATCACAGAACCAAACCCTGTCAAAAAAAAAAAAAAAAAAAAAGGGCGAGCATTAAACCACAAGTTTTATTGGAACCCTGAGTTGATTGTTTTATGTGTGAGTCAACTCAAACCTTTAAGTGGACTGGTCTCTACCTCTGACAAGCTGGGGCCCCATCACACCCAGCACAGGGGAAGGAGGGAGGAGCCTGTGGCTCTGGGGCATTGGGGTAGGCCGGAAGAGCCTCTGAGAGGAAGGGGTGACCCCCACACACACTTGGGAGGGGCCCCCAGTGGGTTGCTGAAGCTGAGTCTAAAGAGGAAGTGAGAGGAGGTGAGGTGCGGCAGGGAGGTAAGCCAAACTGGTGGGGACAGGGGCTGGGCCTGGCCATTCTGTCCCTTCAGGGACCAGCCCACTCCTCAATAAGAAAGAGCTCATAGGAGGCTGGGTGAGATGCCCTGAAAACTAATCTCTCTGACTCTGCAGCCAGGCTTGAGGGCCTGGAGCTGGCTGGCTGGGAACTCCGGCCCCAACTTGGTCAGGAGCTTCCCTCACACTGGCTCTCCCTGCACCTTGCAGTGTGGCATCAGGGGTCTGGGGCGCCATGGCCCAGGCCCTGGGGGAGGACCTGGTACAGACTTCCGAGCCTCAAGATGACTCCAGCTCTCTGGGGTCTGACTCAGAGCTGAGTGGGCCTGGTCCATATCGCCAGGCAGACCGCTATGGCTTCATTGGAGGCAGCTCAGTGGAGCCAGGGTAAGTGGGGCAGAATTGGTGGGGGTGGGGGTTCAGGGACAGGATGGAGACCGAGGGCTGAATTCTGGAGTGAGGCCCAACTGAGAGGGTCTGAGGAGGATCTGGCTGTCAGGACCCAGTCAGAGACTCATCTAGTACCACCCCCTCAACGTTACAAGTGGAACTCCAAGGTGGGAGGGTGGTGTGGAAAAGGCTTCTGGATGTCTCTTTTATGCCAGCCTCCAAGAATTTTCATCCATCTCTGGAGCTGAACATCTTTCCTCTTTAACTTCTGGCCTGGGAATCTCAGGTCCAAATAGTAGAAACTACGCCTCTTCCCTTTCCCTTCCCAAATGTACAAACAGGAAAAAAAAGTCCAAAGACAGACAGAAACTTGCTCCAGGTCACACAGCAGATCAGAGACAGAAGCAGACTTCTGGCTTCCAGTCCAGGACTGTGTCCAACAAGCTTTCCCTAACTGGGTGACAGGCAGCTGGCCCCTCTCCCAACAGAAACCTACTCACCCAGGCTCCCCTGCTTCTGCTTATATTGTAGCCACATCCTTTCCCGTCCCTGTGACAGCCATTGGCAGCTCTGGGTCACAGGTCACCCCCCCGAACTCCCCAGAGATCTTCAGGGCCAGATGCTGGGTTCACTTGGGTAACCCAGAGGGAGCAGGTGTGAGTTGTAAGAAGCAGCTGCCAACATCAGAATAACTGCCACATGCCCCCAGGCCAGGTCAGCCCCCTGCAGACCTCATCCGACAGCGGGAAATGAAGTGGGTGGAGATGACCTCACACTGGGAGAAAACCATGTCCCGACGGTACAAGAAGGTGAGGGGAGAGTGGATCTGTCCAGGCCCCTCTGGCTCCTTCCCCTCTTCTTCCTTCCATGCCGTGGCAAAATTTACCCATGCTATGACCCAGTACCTCCTGCTGACACCTGGCTGAGGGGACGTTTTGTGTGGGGCCTGCCAGCAGGAGCAAATAGGTTGCTTAATGGAGCCCCTTGGCCTTGCCCACAGGTAAAGATCCAGTGCCGGAAGGGCATCCCCTCAGCACTTCGGGCTCGCTGCTGGCCCCTGCTGTGTGGGGCTCAGGTGTGTCAGAAGAATAGCCCTGGCACCTATCAGGTGAGGGAGTTGGCAAGAGTCCCACTTCTGCTGCTGAGTTCCTTGCTACCCAGAGCCCACCCCTACTTGTCTTCCTACCCACAGGAGCTGGCAGAAGCCCCAGGAGACCCACAGTGGATGGAGACTATTGGCAGGGACCTGCACCGCCAGTTCCCTCTACATGAGATGTTTGTGTCACCTCAGGGTCATGGGTACGAGGCCAGCGATGCCCCAGAACCCCAGGACCCCACTGCCTAGATGCTTCTGTCTAGCTTCCCCCACTCTAGCTTTATATCTTCGCATTTCAGGGGACCCAGCAAGGGCAAGGGGGGAGGCTGCAGCTTGGGCAGAGGCCACAGAGGGTGGGGAAGGGATGCCTGGAGGGCTAACACCTAATGGGGTCTTCTGGCACAGGCAGCAGGGGCTCCTCCAGGTACTGAAGGCCTACACCCTGTATCGGCCAGAACAGGGCTACTGCCAGGCCCAGGGCCCTGTGGCAGCTGTGCTACTCATGCACCTGCCCCCAGAGGTGAGTGAATTCCATCCTAACCCTCCATTCCTAGTGACCTTGACCCCAGTGATCCTGAGCTCTGAACCCATGAGACCCCCCTACCCTACCCCAGACTTAGGAACTCCAGCTTCAGGAATCTGGGATCCTTTGCTCCTAGACCCTGGCCAGTGACTCAGGGCCTTTGACCACTAACTTCAGTGGCCTTCAAGTCTAATGATGTTGATTCCAAGAATTTGGAACCCCTTACCCCAATGATCTAGGAGTCTGATGTTTTCACTTTGGCCTCGTGACTCCTGACTCTGAATCCTGTGACTGTGAGCTCTGACCCTAGTGATCCCAGAAATCCAGGACTGGAACTTTGGGACCCTTCCCCAACCCTCGCTCAGTGATCTGTGACCAGCCCTGTGACCCTCAAAGCTAATACCCTGAGCCTTGTGACTTTCAACCCCTGAAGCTATTGGTAGACCTTAGCTGTAGAAGAGGAAGAGCTTTGGTGAGAGCCTCCCAGGCATTGAGCAGGGTAGGAATGGCTTTGAGTGCAGGCTCCTGATGTTGCCCCTGTACCCCTTTCCCATCCTGCCACCCCTCCATGGTTCCTTCCTTGGTGGGTACTCACAGGCATATGTCCTCCTCAGGAGGCCTTCTGGTGCTTGGTACAGATCTGTGAGGTCTACCTCCCCGGCTACTATGGGCCCCACATGGTAAGAGCCTGAGAGGCACAGGAAGTGTGGGGTCTTGGGGGCTGAGGGGGGCAGAAGCCTGGGGTTTGGGAGAGGAGGTGCTGGGTAGCAACAGCCAGCCAGGCTGATGGACATGGCCACAGGAGGCTGTGCAGCTGGACGCCGAGGTGTTCATGGCCCTGCTGCGGCGGCTGCTCCCACGTGTTCACAAGCACCTGCAGCAGGTGGGCGTCGGGCCCCTGCTCTACCTCCCTGAGTGGTTCCTGTGCCTCTTCGCCCGTTCCCTGCCATTCCCTACAGTGCTGCGCATCTGGGATGCCTTTCTCAGTGAGGGTGAGTGGGGTGCTCCTGTGGCTCGTGCCTGGAGCCTTGGGATGTCCTGGGGAGCCAGCTAACCAGCTCTGAGTTTGCCGTGCTCAGGAACTGCCACTCCCAGTCCTTCTGGGGCCTGCGTGTGGTTCTGGAGAAAACAGTCATGAGTGTGATGCCCTCACCTCCCAACAAGGAAGGCCAGGCATGGCCCTGGGCAGGACTAGGGTGGGGCCAGGTGGCTTCCCTGGGAGATCAAGGGTAGAAATTGGGAGATCACAGCACATGGAGTCAGGGCTCAGCCAAGCTAGAAAGTGCTCCTCAGAGCTGCAAGCACTTGGCTGTGCACCCCAGGCACCAGGCCTGGGTGGCTCTGGCAACCAGAAATACCTGAGTGTGAGACCTTCAGTCTGGTGGAGGTGGGGATGGGAGGCGGTGGTACAAATTAACAAGATATTTATAGAATGTCATATGTACCATGAAGAAAATAACATGAGAGGTGATGGAGAGTGTCAGGAGAGCAGCAGGAGGTAATTTCTGTTTTTAAAGATGTTTCGGGGGGTGGGGATATAGCTCAGTGGCACAGTGCCTGCCTGGCAATCTCGAGGCCCTGAGTTCGATTCCTGGTACCTAAAAGAAAAGATGTTTCTCAGGGGTGACTCAGTGGTAGAGCAAGAGCACTTACGTAGCAGTCACTAAATCCTATGTTCCATCCCCAGCACACACACACACACACACACACACACACACACACACACACACACACACACACACACACACACACACACACACACAGAGACAGCGACAGAGAGAAATAAGAGAAAGTCAGAGAGACATTTAGGGCTAGTGGTAGATTACTTGCCTCACATTCAGGAGGCCCTGGGTTCTACCTCTGGTACTGAAAAAAAAAGATGCCCTGGATGCTCTATGAAGGAAAGTACTTACAGGGGCACAGGTGGAAGCCACTGTTGGCAGGGCCCAGACTCCAGATGATGCAAGGGAATGGGCCAGGAGAAGTAAAGTCAGAGAGGAGAGTGCCCGGCGACAGAGCAGGAGGCACATCAAGGCAGAGCTGAGCTGAACTCTGGGTCTTTGGGACTCTTCCTTGATACACCCTGACCATCAGTAACCCCTTTGCTTTCTGTTCTTGATGTGATACCCAAAGGGTGCACCTAAAAATACTATAAATTAATTAGTATATCTATTGAGCACCTGCTATGTGCCCAGCCAGCTTTAGGCCCTCCACACAGCAGGAGTACTACTTGCTGGCTTAGAGCTCTGGCTGTGGTGTCCCAAGTCACCATCCATGTATCTGTCACATCCCCTCCAGCCTCATACCTCCAAGGCCATACTGATTGTGGGGCTGAGCCAGTCCCTGCCTCCTCCACCTAAGGACATGTATTTCCTAGACTCTTTTAATAGCAGTGATGACATTAGCAGTGGTGATTGTTCCTTCAGAGGTCACAGTTGTCACCAAGTCTCACTGGCCTCTTGGCAGCTCTTCTCAGAAGATCAGAAACTGCCAAGAAGGGACTGTGAGGCTCCAGGACTGGTCTAAGGTCACTCACTCTGTGTATGTGTGTGTGCGCATGTGTGCGTGCATGCACATGAGCACTATGCTGTGGTTTACAGGTGAAAAAAGTTCCGCCTAGAATCTTTTTAGAATCAGAGGGTTACAGATCCAAACTGGGTGCCTTGACAGGTACCCGCTCAGCCTTTCCTCATTCCTCCTGGGAAATGAGGGGCCTGAGGTCCAGAGAAAGCTCAGTATGAGGGTGACAGTAGCCTCTGGCTCCTGGCAGCCTGCTTTGTCTGGAAGTGTCTGGGGCTCCTGAGGTGAATTTGGCCAATGCAGGCATCTGTACCCCCAGAGTGCAGCCTCCCTCAGACATTACTCCTGGCCTGAGTTGTGAGGGGGGCAGGAGGTAGAAGGAGTGTGGCTGATGGCAGGATCAGGTGCAGAGGTAGAGGCACAGAGATGGCCTCCAGTGAATGAGCCCTGCCCTACCCCTGGCCTGCAGGTGTCAAGGTGCTGTTTCGTGTGGGGCTGATCCTGGTGCGCCTGGCCTTGGGCACTGCAGAGCAGCGCATGGCTTGTCCAGGGCTCCTAGAGACACTCGGTGCCCTTCGAGCTATCCCCCCTGCCCAGCTGCAGGAAGAAGTCTTCATGTCCCAGGTAGGTGCCACCTCCTTGCTCCCCTCAATGGCCCAACCCCTGTTGCATAGCAGGGGAAACTGAGTCACATATCAGGGAAGCCAAAATGAGAACCAGACTCAGTTCCTGCTGTCTGAGCTGCAGTGAATGTGAAAACCCCAGAGCTCAGCAAGCTTTCTGTGGCTCCCACAGCAACGCTGTCTGCAAGTCCCTCAGCCCTCAGCCACTTCCTGGGGCTGTGTACTGCCTGCCCTGTGGGGACCTCTGGGTTTCCTGCCCCAACTCCAGTCCAGGAAAACTCAATACCAACTGCTTCCCACAGGTGCACAGCGTGGCCCTGTCAGAGCAGGACCTGCAGCGAGAGATCAGGATCCAGATGGCCCGGCTGCCCAAGTCATCGCCTGGGCCACCGCCTCAGCCTCAGGCCCGCCTCCCGGGGGCACAAGCCATCTTTGAGGCCCAGCAGCTAGCAGGGGCTCAAGGAGGTGCCAAGCCTGAGGTACCCCGAATTGTGGTACAGCCCCCAGAAGAGCCCAGGCCACCACGGCGCAAACCCCAGACCCGAGGCAAGACTTTCCATGGCCTCCTGACTCGAGCCCGAGGACCCCCCATCGAGGGAACCCCCAGACCCCATCGAGGCTCTTTCCTGGACACCCGTTTCTGAGGGTACTGTGGACTCAAGCACCTGAGTGGCTGATGCCAGCCCACAAATGGGCACTGCACTTTATTGCTGGGATTTGGTGACTTGCCTCTGTTCCCAGCAAGGACCACACGACGGGGAAGGAGACATCCCCCACTTTACACACTGTGTCAGGCACAAGGGAGGTCACAGAGTCAGGGCTTGTGGGAACTCAGACAGGCCACCACCAGCTGTCTGGTAGCAGTATTAAAGCCAGCAATGAAGGGGTATGGAGGCTGTTGGCTGGGCTGAGGGACCCCAGGCTGCTGAACGTTCTGGAATAAAGTGACTGAATAGTTGCTTGAATGGAATTGGATCAAATGCCTTCTCCCCCACCAACCCCCGGACAGGCTTTCCCTTCCCCTCCAGTGCTTCAATCTCCTGGGCCAACCCTGGTCCTGTCCTGGGACACATGGACGCTGCTCATTGGCTGCTGGGGAAAGTGTTTACAAGCAAGAGGAACCAGCTGGTAACCCCTTGTGGGCAGGTAAGGCTTTGTACCTTGGGGAAGAGGGCTTCCCGGGGAGGCTGGGCCCAGGATTGAGGCTTTTGCCCCTACTCTGCCCCCCTTTGCCCTTCCCCCAGGCTGGTCAGTAATCCCTGGGGTGGGAAGGCTCTAACTCAATTTATTCTTCCCACCATGCTCCTGGTCCCATCTGCCAAAGGGAGCCAGGCAAGAACAAAGGCCTAGTGTGCTCAGGACAAAGGAGAAAGGCCCTGCCAGCCCTTGTCCCTCTCTAAGCCCTGGTGCACCCCCTCGGGACCGCCGCCATGGAAACTCCCTCTCACACTCACTAATTGCCCCCATGGGTGCCTAGGGTGCCTGGGACATGAGCCATTGTCAAGACAACAGGGCTGGTTCTGAGGCAGGCATGTGTCCCCACAGTGCCCATTCCCAGTTGCCCTGACTCCCTATAGCTCCCCGGCCCGCTACAGGTGTGGAACAGGCAGAGTACCAGGAGCAAGCATCTGGAGGCCTGTGCTTCTGTGGGGGATCACAAGGTAGAGTGTTCAGTGTGCCTGTTGCCACGGCTGAGATGAGACATTATCATGGCCCCTGACAGAGCCTGGATCAAGGGTGGACAGACTTGCCCAAGGTTACCCCTGTCCCTACCCTGTAGCACATTAGATGACCCCCATCTCCCTCTGGACCCTCACTTTGGCCTGCCCTCCTAGAGGGGTATTCTCTCCTGGTCCATCCCAACCCCCAACCCTGCCAGCTGGGATCCTGTGAGTTAAGACCTAGAAGATTTCCAGGGTCCTCCCCACCCACTGGGACACCTGAAGCTCAATAATAATCCTCTCACCTGAAATTCATTTTGTGAATGAATTTTGTGCCTTTCTCAGACAGACAGCTTCATCTCTCCGCAGGTGGCCTGGTAGCCTTCCTAGAAAAAAGGAGGCTAGGAACAGTTAAGACGGCAGCCCAAGGCCACAGTGAGAGACAGAGTGGGCTGAGAGGCAGAGCTCTGTACCCTCTAGACCTTTTGGCTCTGCAGGGCATCCAAAAGGGACATCTCAGGCACTGCAGTAAGTAGGACAGAATCCATATTGCTTCCTGCCCTCCACAATTTGGCCCTTCTGGGAGATCAGGGGAACAAGGATACCACAGCTTCAGCCCTGGGCCTTTCCATCATGAGCTGGATAGGGTGGTGTAGCCGTAGATCATGCTGGATACAAACCCTAGGAGAAGTGGTCTGCAGCTCTTGTGGAGTCACTGGACTCTTACTCAGGGCAGTATTTTCTGGGGCATCCTTTTGTCCTTCTGCAGGTCCTATTATCAGTCATTCCCTTGGAAGCTGAACTGAGAGACCAGGACAGGAGACAACTAGCTCCCTCTGTGTGTACACACTTCTATGCATACCTTCTCAAGGGCCCTTCTCCACAGGCTTTGCTAGCCTTAGTAGCAAAACCTTTACACTAGTTAGGGAAAGATGCTCTCCCTCCAGGAAGCACACAGCTCTGCTAGAGTGCACAGTATAGCCTTGTGGGAGCTGCTACTCAGCCAGGTACCTCTGTGCAGTAAGCAACCTGCACAACCATATTCAGCAAACCCAGCAGCTCCCTATAAACCTGCTTGGAAAGGGGTTCAGAGGAGGGAAGCAATACATCTAAGAGTAGTCATTGTATGGGTACTGAAGCTGGGACAGCACCTGTAAATGCTACCCTGCATCAGTCCAGGGGATAATTGAGGGGGGCACATAAAGGAACAGACAGGCAAACACAAGCCCACTTGGATCACCTTGTACATGAGAGATGGTGGTGACTTTCAGAGGCCAACCTTGGACACCTGGTGAAGCTGGACAGGAAGGGCTCTCTCACCCTCCCTGGGCCTCAGCTTTCTCCACAGATAATGGCGTGAGAAGGACTTCCAGCCCAGCCTCTCATGCCACCTCCCCACCAATGTTATGCCTGTTGTTCAGTTTAGCTGGGCAGCAGCAGAAGCAATCTCAATTTGCCCCACCTATATTTGGCCCAGCTAAGCCCTGCCCGCCTGCCCCAAGACCCAGTGCCCTGGGCAGGACTGCAGTCGCCCAGCCCTCATTGTCCTCCTTTTCCTTGTTAAACAAAAACTTTTGAAATAAAATGATCTCCAGAAAAAAAAAAGGCTTTCTCGAGGCATTATGGGTGCTATCCTGAACAAAGACAGATGCTAGAGCAAGTCCTAAGGTTACCAGCAAGAAAGCTAGGTTGCAGGTGGAAAGTGTCCACCGCATGTAAAAAGCCAGAGTATTTTATAATGACAATTTGAGGGGAAGGAAAGCATGAATCCTTTCCATTGACTCTCACGGGCTATGGATAAAAGGGGTGGGACAGGAGGCAATCTGTGAGGAGCACCATTGATTGGCTGGGGTAGTAAAACTTCCATGGCACTTCCTGATCCAACTCCTAGAGCTCTAAGGCAAAATTTCAACCCATACTTAGGAACACAGAACAGTTTTTTGTTGGCTTGGCCGGAAGCTGTTAACAGATTAATTTCTCTTCCCCTCTACTCTCCCGTCTTTGTAATTAAATTTAGGACGTCTCAGAACCACCCCCCTTCACTTCAGCTTTATTGTACCTGTCAAACAAAAATTTCAAAAGTGAGGTAGTCATCCAGGTTGTCCTCCCAAAATGTTTGTCTATCAGCATAAAATTTAGATGAAAAACTTACTTTGCCTTGCATTTTTGTCCAGTTGTTTTGAACTAATTTGCAAGTGTGCTGCTCATTGTTTATGTTTAAGAATTAAAAATAGCAAAGTGAATAGCAAATGGTGTATTGGTGAGGTAAGTACATGGTTTCCACCACAGTCATAACTTCCCTGGGCCAGGAGACACTCATCAGGTCAGAGAAACAAGTGCTTGCCAGTCATCAGAAAATCAATGGCCACTGGGGCTGTCATGCAGAAATCCAGTCACTCGGAGGTCAGATTTTAAAGATGTGTCCTCCTGTGAGTCATACAGGATGGGTCCATAGAACCTGGAATCTGTGGAATTCTGTAGATTGTCACCTTCTAATCAGACATGGCCCAGGGCACCTTTGGATACCATAACAATGGTGGCCGAGATTTTCTGCAAAGACAATATCTGAATTTTGAATCGTAGGCCCCACTGATGGTCCAGAACACATCACAACCCCACCAACATACTCAGAAACTCAATGGGCTGTGCAGCCATACTGAATAGTGCAGCCAACCAGCTGAAAGGTCCTTCCCCAGAACACTGCAGAGCAGTGTAGACTCTGATACTATTGGCCATAAGTCTATTCCTCAATGCATTAAATTTTCAGGGTGGTAGTAGGGCTTCCAGAAAAAATCGAAAGCACACGTGGATAATCCATGGCATCAGGACCCTCTGGCCCAAAAGGACTCTCCTCAACCAAGACTCAAGGGGGCTACCAGAATTTTTCTCATTATCCACAAGGCAAACACCAGTGCACTGATACCCAGCCACGGTGGGTGGCAGGGGTGCAGTGCCATAATGTTCTCTGTACCTATATGCACACATTCTGCCTCTTCTGCCAATTGTGCGAATGCAAACAAATCACACAACTTCTCTGAGCCTCACTGTTCTCTGGGTGAAGGCAGAGAATCATAACTCCTACCTCAAAATGTTAAGGATTAACACGCCACACATGCAGTCCTTGTGCACTGCCTGACAAGGTCAAGAAATGTTGCTGATGGGAGGGTATGATGATGCAAACCGGTAATCCCAGTACTTGGGAGGGCGAGGTAGGACAATTGCTGCAAGTTCAAGGCCACCCAGAGCTACAGAGCCAGGCACCCTTGCCCAGCTAAACCTGTGCTACATATACAAGGTTATCCCCACTTGAAGATGAGAACATGGAATCCCCAGAGGCTGCTTAGCCCGCTAAATGTCAAAGCTCATGCTCTTTGGATGACATCCATGGTTCACCCCAATCGCAGGCCACACAGGCAACAAGGTGGCAGATTGTCTGGGGGTGGCTGCATTTTGTGCCAGGAGGCTGGGCAGTGACAGGGGGAGGAGTTTGGTGGGAGAATGTGACTGGGCTGGGGGGTCCTGGAGAAAGCAGTTCCTCACCTTGGAGTCCTCCAGAGGTAGACAGAGGTGGATCTGCATAGGCTGCTGTGTATGAAGTGGCAGGAAGTGTAAAAAAAGCTGCCAGGCCCCACAACACCCTGCCCCCCTCCCAGGAGGCTCTTGGAGATGTGGTGGTGGTGGTGTCTGAGGGTGGGGTGTCAGGTGAAGGAATTGTAAGGACAGGACAGCCTGCCTGTGCTGCTCAGCTCTACAGGATGGGGAATAGCCCCACTTAAGGAAGAAAGAAAGAAAGTGAGCTTCGCTTCAGGACGGAAAGAGAGGTGCCCAGGTCTTGCAGCCAGAGTTGGACTTGGAATCCACTGGTGTGATACACTAAAGCAGATGGTGTGAGCCTTGTATCGGGGTGGGGGGCGCCTGAGTGCGTGTGTGTCCTGGGGACACTGTGTGGGGGTGCAATTGTTTGTAGTAGCCCTCCTTGGGGCTGGCTGATGGTCAGAGATCTTATAGACACCTCAGCCCCTTTGCCCACCGGCACCCTTCCTTCTAGGGCTGTGCAGAGATCCTGGACAACAGTGCTTTTGGGGCAGTCTGCGTGCAGCAGGGTCAGGCGCTCCTGGCTGAACAGTAGCTGCAGGGCTGGGTGTGCAGGGAGCTCAGAATGCAGTTTAAAGGACCTTGCCCCGCCATTCTGCCGCCCCACCCCTGGGGAGGCTCTAGTACCAGGCTCTGCCTGTGCCTTCTCTCCCCGAGCCCGGGCCCTTGCCTTCTTCCCATCTGTTTTTCCATCTCTTTTCCGTTACAGGGGCTCTCTCTCTCGGACAGTCCCTGTCCCTTCTCTGCTCGCCCTCTGTCAGGACTTTGTGTTTCCGCGGATTCCTGCCGACTAGGACCAGAAGACTGTCTCTCCGTAGCCCGCTCCAC